GGGGCACAGCCAGTCCTTCACAGAGGACTGTGCCATTAAGGTTCTCTGAGTCTGACCGGACTAGTCCAGCCATCCATGAGCGGACTCACTTAAAGGCAAGGCAGAAAATCTGCTTAGGATGAGCTACAGGATGTAAGCATCTAAATTCCCAGTTGAGCCTTCATTTTGCTGAGGAAACTTGAGCAAGTCTCTTCCCCTTTACAGGTTCAGTTTCTAGACCAGGAGAAGGGAAAAGTGAAGGAATACAGTGGATTTCAGAGCAGGGGGAAAATAAAGAAATGGTTGCAATGGTAGAATGAACACTTGCCCCTCTTCTAGGCCTACCTTCTTGCCGGATATTATTACACAGCCACCGGCACCTACGACATCAAGTGGACGATGCCACATTGTGTTCTGACCTTGAAGCTGATCGGTGAGTGGTGGGTCACTGCCTTCCCCTTTGACACCAGGCTCCTCCCATCTGACCAGAAGCCTATGCTGGGTCCTGCCCTGGGCGCTCCTGGCCACGGTCAGCCCACAGGTCACATACTGTGTCCTCTCCCGCGACTCCACCCGCACCTTCTCTCCCTGCTCAGGTCTGGCCATCGACTACTTTGATGGAGGGAAAGATCAGGTGAGTGCCCCTCCCTCCCTCCGCAGAGAGGTGAGGGAGTTTCACCAGAGAGCAGGAGAAAGGCTGTTACCGAAGCCTGGACCCAGGGCCAGGGCGGGGCCCTCCCCCAGTGCCCGGCCTGTGACATCTCTGCTTAGGACAGCACGGAGCCAGGACCAACCAGTCTCATTCACTGGGTCCAGCTCTTGCTCAGAGTCCAGAGGTCGGTGCCAGTGAAGTGTGGGGAAAGCGGCGGCAGCCGCTGCTGAGCTACCACAGCACCTGCTCACCTCCACGCGCACCGCCTGCTTCTCCCCATAGTATCAGCCCCTCAAAGAGGCGACTATTTGAAGAACTCGGTTCAGCGGGGCACAAAGATGGGGGACCCCAAGACTGGCTCTTGCGGGGAGATTCAAGACTATCGTGCACCCTTCTTCTCTTCTCGGCATAGAATTCCTTGTCCTCTGAGCAACAGAAATATGCAATACGGGGTGTCCCTTCCTTGCTGGAAGTTGCTGGTTTCTCCTACTTCTATGGGGCCTTCTTGGTGGGGCCCCAGTTCTCGATGAACCACTACATGAAGCTGGTGCAGGGACAGCTGACTGACACACCAGGGAGGATACCAAACAGGTAACTGCCCCCTTCCATCCAGACCTCTGTATAGGCGTCTCACCCGATACAAAGCCACTTCTAAAGTGACTTCTGAAGGCCAGCCCAGCATTCTCCAGCCTGGGCGGCCCATGGGCCTGCGACGGGCATTCAGTACCTACTCCCTGCAGGCAGCAGGCCCCCTGCAGCTTGGGTCCCCTCCAGCCATCCTTTCCAACCCCCTGGTACAAACATAAAAATTCACTTTTATGCCGTAGGATTTTGCCTGACCCAGTCAATTCCTGGCCTTTAAAAATCCACTTTCCCAGTTTAAAAAATATTAAGTATATCAAAATCTCTATAAATATATATTACATTAGAAAATTAGTAAGTTACCAGGAAAATCCCTCTGCTGAGAACTTGTCCAGCCTGTGTTTGAGCATTGGTTCAACCAGGAGAGGAAGCAGCAGATTCAAAACTGGTCCTTCTCATTTCTGCGTTGGGTTTTCAGTCCCAATGGAGACCAAGCACACTGTCGGGAGCACGAGGCCCACAGGCCTGAGGGGCAAGCACCACAGACTCCCCCGTTCGGCTCCCCGCCAGCCCGGGAACTCACAGGGTTTGCACCTTCCGTTCCTCACCCCAACCCTGAGGCTGAGTGCAGGCCTGGGGCAGCGGGTGGAGGGCCACCCTCTGCCACGCCCCTCCGTCATGCCAGGCGAAGCGCGTCATGACCCCCTTGTTCCTTTCCAGCACCATACCTGCTCTCGAGCGCCTGGGTCTGGGCCTTGTCTACCTAGTGGGCTACACCCTGCTCAGCCCCCACATCACAGAAGACTATTTCCTCACTGACGACTACGAAGTGAGTGGTCCCCGAATAGCAGCGGTGTGACTGCGCCAGAGAGAGAGTGGACGGGCCAGGGCCCCCGTAGATAGCCGCGAAGTGGGCAACACCACCTACAAACGCATGTTGATTTTGCTCTAGATCTGAGAGTTGGTGTCAGTGCCAGCCGGGCCAGGACACGTTCATCAGCCAGGACTGAACGACCTTCGTGGGCACAGGGCTGTGCCAGGTGCCCTTCAGCACCCCGACCTGCCCCCTGTCGCTCCGAGCTCGCTTCTTACAGCCAGGCGACTCCACAGAGCACGGCGGCTCAAGTCCTCTCCAGCCCAGACAGATGGAGCTCTAGGAACTCAGGACCTGGGGAGGGGGAATGCTGGCTTGGGCTCCGTCCCAGCTCTGGGGAAGTCGGTCTTCAGCTGACGTTGAACGTGGATATTGAAGTCCCCCAGCTCTAGTGTCCCAGGTGCCCAGCGCTTTAGGAGAGGAGTTGAGGACAGCACTGTTTCTGGGATTCTTTGAGGGGGCTCCCTGCTCGCTCCTCATGGCCTGTTACCAACACCAAGCAGCTGAGTGGACTGTCAGGTGGACGTGAAATAGTCACCGCGCGCGTGAGGAGGGACACGCAGGAACCGTCCTGGCCCAGTGGTGTCCCTAATGCATGCTGCTCCCTTTTTTCTAGAACCATGACTTCTGGTTCCGCTGCATGTACATGCTGATCTGGGGCAAGTTTGTGCTGTACAAATATGTCACCTGTTGGCTGATCACGGTAAGGAGAAAAGATGAACCAGGGTCCCATTTGGACAAGCTGCGGGGCACAGTGGGGGCGAGCTGTGGGGACGCTCACAGAGCCATTGCCCCCTCAGGAAGGAGTGTGCATCCTCACGGGGCTGGGCTTCAATGACTTTGACGAGAACGGAAAGGCCAAGTGGGACGCCTGCGCCAACATGAAGGTGTGGCTCTTTGAAACAAACCCCCGCTTCACTGGCACCATCGCCTCTTTCAACATCAACACGAACGCCTGGGTGGCCCGGTAAGCACGGGGGCAGGGGAGCAGAGAGGCAGCAGTCACTTCTGTGTCTTCACCCACTTTGGGTGGGACTTCCGGTCACTCTCACACCCACACCCACTTAACTTTTGTCCCCAACCCCAAAACCCCCCAAAACCCATTCCTGTCGTATTTGAAAAACAAAAGCAAGACATAAATGGCCTCGAGTCCTGGGTTTTCACCCCAGTTCTGCTGCCTGTCTTCCACCCTCCAGGGCCCCATTTACGAACATTCCTAGTCCCACCCCCAGAGCAGACGCAGTGAGGGCAGAGGGCCGGCCTCAGCGCCAGGCGCTCAGGTGGTCCCTGGCTGAGCCGTAGGTCTGTTTTGTCTAAACCAGGACTGGTTCACTTCACTGCCTCTCATTCTGAAGTTGATCGGAGGGCACTGCCTCCCCTCTCCCAGGGGGAGCAGGTGCCACCTCTGCACCCCCCAGGGCACTGGGACGGAAAGGTCTGAAGTCCTTCCCTACCCTTCTCTCTAGTTACATCTTCAAACGACTCAAGTTCCTGGGAAGTAAAGAACTGTCCCAGGGTCTCTCGTTGCTGTTCCTGGCCCTCTGGCATGGCCTCCACTCAGGGTACCTGGTCTGCTTCCAGATGGAATTCCTCATTGTTATCGTGGAAAGACAGGTAAGCCGGAAGGGTGGCGGGTGAAAGGGGCCTGAGAAGAGGTGACACTGAGGCCGCTGCCCTTCCTCCGCAGGCTGCCAGCCTGATTCGAGACAGCCCGGCCCTGAGCAGGCTGGCTTCCGTCACTGTCCTGCAGCCCTTCTTCTACCTGGTGCAGCAGACCATCCACTGGCTCTTCATGGGGTACTCAATGACTGGCTTCTCCCTCTTCACGTGGGACAAGTGGCTCAAGGTGAGTGACGGCGTGCCAGCCAGGACGGGAGGGAACCACTGAAAGCTCGGGCAGTAAGGGCTGTTCCAGGCCCTCTGTCTACCTCAGTGGCCTGTGTCTCTCCACAGGTGTATAAATCCGTCTATTTCCTTGGCCACATTTTCTTCTTGAGTCTACTATTCATACTGCCTTATGTTCGCAAAGTAATGGTGCCGAGGAAAGAGAAGTTAAAGAAGATGGAGTAATCTATTTCCCTGGTAAGCAAACATCCCTACAGCTAAGCTGCAACTACAGACTTGGGGGGATTGGTGGGGGGTGGGGTTAGTATTGGAAATGTGGGGTGAACTGCAAGGTGGCCTGGCTTCTAGGCAACCCAGTAAGGGGCACTGACTGCTCTAACTTGGACAAGCCAGGAGGAAGCTGGAGGGACCACAGACCAGCGACCAGGAGCAGCACCTCTGACCAGCCTTCCCACATCCCCCCTTGCAGGTGGCCTAGAGCAGGACTGGTGTGGAAACGCCTCCCTTGTCACAGCACTCCTTGACCCCAGAGCACAGAGGACACAGAAGCCAGGGAGTGGGGAGATGTGGCTCCCCCAGCCATGCCTCTGCTGCCAGCCACGTCTCCATTTGGGGCCAAAGGGGAAACTCTCGTGGGAGGAGTAGAGGGGCCCACGTCTCCCCTCTGGGCTCCCCCATGCACGTTGCCTTATCTCTCCCCCTCCAGCCAGGAACCTGTTGTGTTTTCTTCTGCCAATTTACTATGATTGTATATGTGCCGCTACCTCCACCCCCCCATGGGGGGAGGGGACGGGCAAGGCCCCGCCTGCTCCACTTTTCTACCTTGGACTGTACCAGATAAAATCACTTAAGTTTGTTCAGTTTTCACTGCTAGCGCTCCTGCGCCTTTCTTTCAGACACAGCCCTCCATGCTTGCAGCAGCTGAAATAATCAGGGCTCTCCTTTACAGCACAAGCAAAGTTGGGCCAGGCGCAAACTGCCAGCAGTGTAACCTCGCATGTCTCTCTGAGGTGAGCGCAACGACCAGGTCACATACTGCTATGCAGGAACCCCCAAAGGACAACAGGGTTGCAAGAACAGCATTTATAGGAAAAACAGGAGGTGTACAGCCCCAGCTCCCGCACACCCCGGCCTCAGTGCAGGAAGGCGCCCTCCTGGCAGTCCGCTGAGAACAGGGTTAGGGAAGCAATGTCCACAGTCTCTGTTTCAGGACAAGGTCCGACTGTCAGATGACCCCCCACACTTCTTCAAAGGCTGTGGTGAGTTTTGCACAGGTGAGGGCAGCAGAAAGCGGGTAGTTGCTGATGGACACCATCTTCTCCGTGTACTCTACATCCACCTGAGGGGAGAGCAGTCTGTCAGCTGGCTGTCGCTGTCATGGGCTCAGCCCTTCTCCAGGCAGGAAAACTGCCAGTTCATGGTGCTGTTTAATACTAGTTTTGACCACGACAAACAGGCCAGCATTCCTCAAAGATGCGCCCTGTGGCAGGAGATGGAACCCCCGTGTGTCCGCAGCTTTGTTCCTATCCTGTTTCCCAACTTACAAGGACAAGGATTGTCAAAATGCTAAGTGCTCTCAGAATCCTGTACTAGGCTTCAGCTCCGTGAAGAACCTAGAGCTGGGCCCAGACCTTACCTTGCCATGGGCAAAGGCCCCCACCACAAAGACGACAGGGTCGCTGCTGGGCACCAGCTCGCGGACATCACTGACCGCCGGGGTGGAAAAAGAAGTGCCAATTTTCATACATCCAACTGGGAAGTGATCTGACACTGGATTCTTAATCACCTAGAGAGAAAAAGAAGTCAGCCCCAGAAGCAGTCTTAGAACCCTCCCTCCAACCAACAGGTGGAACAGCTCACCTTCAAGAGCTTCTGGGGGCCGTCAGCCGCTCGAACGCTGAGTTTGTGTAAAAGCTGAACTAGGACGGAAAAAAGAGTTCAGAGCGGGGTGGTGACCCCACTTCTGCCCAGTCATTTAGCCAGAAAAGCCCTCTGGTAAGGTGGGCTCCTCATGTCCTGTGTCCACACTACTCCTAAAAATGTTATGAACGAGCAGCTGTCAAGCATGTGGGCTCCCCTCCCTTCTCCTCAGCCAGGAGCCCCCATGCAGGCTGTACCCAGGTGCGTGGGAAGAAAGTGCAGACCCCCGCACTGGGATCAGTCATGTGGGCCCCTCTTAAAAATTCCACATTTCTCCCTTGTCCTCTTCCTCCCTGCTCTACTACTCCCAAGTCTAAGTCCCAAGGCTTCTCACCCATGAGACCACAAAAGCGGTCAAAGGTCCTGGGAATTCGTGTCTGGGGGTTCACTTCAATCAGCACGTTCTTCTGCGTGTGGACATAGACCTGCAGCAAGCCAGCCCGGTTCAGGGGACTGTCCATCAGCATCAGTAAACTCTGAGGGAGGCAGAAATCCAGGTATGGTTACAACTGAAAAGAAGTCACACACAGCTGCCTCACCTCCCATCCAGAGGCACAGGGGCCTGCGCTCTGTCCCCAGACTTACCTGGTGAGCTATGTCTGGTCTCACTTCCCCAGGGTCCCGCCCGTTCTTCAACAGCATGGACTTGTGCTTGTCACAGTTGAGCAGCTCATACGTCTTCCCCACCTGGAGACCAGGGAACAAGATCGGGAGCAGCATGAGCTGCTTTTGCCTGGAACAGTGTTTCTCACTGTGGTCCCCATACTGGCAGCATCTGGAAACCTGTCAGTCAGTCACGTTCTCAGGCCCACTCCAGACTAGCTAGATCCAGGGAATTACTGTGTGGCCACGTCCTCCCCCCAACAGCCCCACCACCAATAACTGATCTTGGAGGGAAAAGGGAGGAAGGGTGCAGCCTGTGATTCCACACAATCTAAACTGAATTTAATTTTAAAACCTGTGGGTATTAGGCAAAGCCAGTGAGGGATTCTGGAACCAGGTAGAAATAAGGTTAGTGAACAAGGCTGAATGCTTGTTTATCACAAGAGCATTATGTATACACTCAGCAAAATATACACAGTCACTATCCTCAGTTTGCTTATAACAAACACAAAGTGAAGAGCTGCAAATCTGAACAGGAAGAAGTGTGAAAATTCTAATGATGCAAGACTACATACATCTAACGATGTACCTTAATCTAACAATACTCTCAGAAATAAAGAAGAAGGGTTATTCCAGTTTTAAGGCATGTGAGCAACAGCTAAAAAAAAATAAATTGCAAATTGAAGCCCTAGGGAGCATTCAGGTGGTCAGCAAAAAGTTTAAAAAACATACCATTAACAGGGGAAGGAAATAGCTCAGTGGTAGAGTGTCACAAGGTCCTACATTCAATCCCCAGTACCTCCATTTAAAAATAAATTCACATAAAAAAAAAAACCACTAAGTACAAATACAGGTTTTGAAAGGCTGAGTTTTTATATATCAATACAACATCTCTATGTCTGGCATCATCTTGAACTATGACTCCAAAAATGTTTCAGGAAGAGGTATACAGATTTTGAAATTAACTGAGTAACTAAAATAACAAGAATGTCACAGAGAGTAAGAACTAAGTACCAAGAACTAAGTCCACAGGACACTCTTAGTTACAGAAGAAAAAGAACCTCTTGAATAGAAGAATCTAGTTTCTACCCATTAGTAAGTTATAACCAGGGTTTTGTTCTTTTAATGGGATAAAATAGAAAACATCAGAGTACTTCAAATGCAGCCATACTAAGTAAGCAAAAGCTTATGAAACTTGGTTTCACATAGTTAAGTACGTGTACTGGCTCACAATGTAATTTTTTTATAGTGGGCTGTGGTTAATAAGCTTGAAAACACTAATTAGAATAGTCAGAATGAATACCACATGTATTCTGTAATAGGTACCGGAGACATAAGAATTTTTAAAATCTTATTCTCTGTCCTCATTATAGCCTTCTAGTGGAAGAGACAAATTAAACAACCACATGAATATTTAATGCAAAGTGTGATAAACACGAAGGAGAACTAAATGGTCCATTAAAGGATTATAATAAGAGGACTTGATTTATACCAGAAAGGGAGTCATTTCTATAAAGGAGTAACCTAATAACTGAAGAATGAGCAGCATAATAGACTCTATAATTGTTAAATGAATACACATTAAGTAGGAATTAATGAAACAAAGAGCCGAGTAAAGGGCTCCTTCCGTTAGAGAACATTATGTGCAATGGACTTAAGATACGAGAACTTAGTGCTTGCAAAGAGCTTAAAGAAGGCCAGTGAGGTGAGCATAAAGAGTAAATGGAGAGAGCAGGCCCCGATGAGGCTGGGAGAAGCAAGAGGTACCAGCACAAGGAAAGCAAAAGGTAACAGTACATAAGATTTCAACCAGCTATGAATTCCATCATCCTTGGAGTGGAATTACCATTAATGACAACCTGGCCTAATTTATTCCAGAGCATGCTCCAGGAACTTTAACTTGGCCATGACCTTTTCAACTTTTTAATAAGTAACCTGAATCAATAATAGTAACTACTGACTCCAAGTGACAGACGTTATTCTAAACCCTTTACATATATTAAATCCATTAATCCTCCCAACAACCCAGTAAAATAGGTACTACTATCTCGACAGAACACATGCGGAAACAAAGTGGTTAAGTGACACACGGAATTAACAGGCTGGAAAGACAGCAGGCAATTAAGTGTGAGATGAATATAAGAACCTATAGTTAGACTAGAAATACCAATTACACAAGAAAATGAAAAGAAACCTGATTGGCTGGTCATTTAAAAAAAAGGGTTTTCTAAACTGCAAACTTAACAAAGTACCACAGTGATTGAGAAAGGAAAGATAGAAAAGAATCACACCTAGATTACTATGGAAATGTACTACTTTCAAAGCACTTTCATTACAATCCTCCTGTAAAGTATTAACCCCTGCTTTACCAACTGAGCACAAACTTGTTTTCTCAAGATCACACATTCCAAGTATAAGAACCAAGATTAAAATCCAGGTCTTCTTCTAAACCAGTGCTATTTCTCCTGGCCCTACTCATTGAAGCTTAGCTCTAAATGGTAAGAGAAACAATGTTAGAAAGAATAAGAACACCGCACAAAGTTTTAAGGCAGGGAGTTGCTGGATTTATTCTAGGAAAGAGCCAAATGATAGGTAAAAATAAAGACGTAACGATGATCTGATCCAAGCAGTGTTTCGGAATGTACAGTAATATAAAGGAAGGTGACAGACACCCTTTAATGAATTAAAACACTAAGTCCTTACAAATAAAAGGGTGAGCAGACTCAACTACAGGAACCCCTTTTCTCCTTTGCCCAGTAAACTCGTCCTGGTATGAAGGGGGATGACGCGACTGACGAAACCCTCTTCCCCTAGACGACTTTATATCACAGAATCCCGGTTAATCAACTGGAATCAAGGAGGTGACGGCTGCAATGGGATTCAAAGGCAAAGAAAACGAGTACTGCCAACCCAGGATGTTAAACCAAAAGACAGTCAACTAGACCCCTCTTTCTCCAAATGCACGTTACACCTCTGCTTTCTCCCTCTACTTTGAGCCCATCACCCGCATCCCACCAGGTCCCATCCTATTGATACACTAGTTCTCCACCTCCTTGTCCCAAACTACCTTGACTGTCTCCAGACTGGCTCCTTCCAATACCACAATGAGCCTACGGCCTCCGCTCTTGCTTCCCGCCCCGAGTCGGGGCCGCTTGGGCACCACAGCATCCCAGCCCTCATCCTGCTCCTCCGCGCGCCGCTCACGAGGTTGGAATCCACCACTGGGCGCAGCCATCTTGCTACCGGACCGGAAATTGTGCAAACATCCTGCAACTAGGACCGCCCGCTCGCCCCAATCTCAAACTTCCTTCCGTCCGCCATTTTGAAAGTGGGCGCTCGGAAATGGCGACGGCTCGCTGTCTTGCGCTCCCGAAGCCTCTCCGGGAGGGCAGGGTTCCAGAGAGGGGCGGGAACTTCCGGGTGCGCGATTCCTGTGCGCCAAGCTCGGGTCCGCCGTGGGCGGGGGGGAGGATTTAGAACGGAGGGCACTTCCGGTGCCCTTTCTCCCGCGAGCACCTGGGGCCCGGACCCTCGTGTGCGAGCCCGAAGCTGGAGCGCCGCAGAGGCGGGCCAGCACCCCCTTCTGACCACTGGTGCCGCCGGCCTCAGGATCGGACATGGCCCAGAACCTGAAAGACTTAGCGGGACGGCTGCCCTCCGGGCCCCGGGGCATGGGCACAGCGCTGAAGCTGCTGCTGGGGGCCGGCGCCGTGGCCTACGGCGTCCGCGAGTCCGTGTTCACCGGTGAGCAACCTCCGCCCGCTCTCCGGACCCCGCTCTACCCTCCCCGGACTCCTTCCTGGCCCCGCCGGGTCCCCGCGCTCACCCAGCCGCTCACCCCGCCCCCCCAGAAGTTAGCACGTACTCTGAGTTCGGCCTGGCCTGACCCCGACCCCTCTCCCCGCAGTGGAAGGCGGGCACAGAGCCATTTTCTTTAATCGGATCGGAGGCGTGCAGCAGGACACCATTCTGGCCGAGGGCCTTCACTTCAGGTAATGGCGGGCAGAGCGGACTGAACCTGACCCTTCACCCTTGAACGCCGACCCACCAATGGCCTTAGTAGGACTTTTAATGGGATTCAGCCCTGCTCATTCCCCTCCTCACCCCATCTCCCAGAACAGTGGGTATTGCCCAGAACTCCAGCAGCATATGCTGTTGTTGTCCAGAGAGAGAAGAGAATTTCTCCTTGACCGTGGTTATTAGGAGGAGAAGCAGGCCAAGAAACACGTGGTGAAGCAAGACCGGCTGAAACTAGTGAAACTGCAGTGTCCTAATTCCTGTCCCTGTTCCTTCTCCTCCAGGATTCCATGGTTCCAATACCCCATCATCTATGACATTCGGGCCAGACCCCGAAAAATTTCCTCCCCCACAGGCTCCAAAGGTAGGTCTAGGCACTGAGGCGTCGCTGGCAGTAAACAAGGGAGCCTGGCGAGAGACTAGGGGAGATGGTGTCAGATCCCTTGGGCCTTGGTTTCCACGTCTGCAAATGAGCGATAATAAAAGCACCAGCTTCTGGGGTTAAACCAGCACATTCTGGACGCACTGTGTGTTTCGCATGTTTAGCTGTCCCTCCCCTAATGTAAACTCAGTGAGAGCATTGTTGTCCTTTGTCTTACTCAGTGGCTAGGTCAAAGCCTAGTTTTAAAGCCTTTTTTTTCCTTGTAGTTGCTTCACTTATTAATTGCATTAACTAGTACGCCCTGTCCTGGGGAAACCTGGCTCCGCTCTTCACTAGTGCACCTGTTCCTTCCTGGACCACACCTAGAAGCTGTGCCTTTGAGATTCCCCAGACCCTTCGTCAAACACACGCATACACCCAGGCATGTACACAGTAAGGCAGGTAGCTCACCTGTAGTGTGCTTTTTTGTACTATTTTTAGCACAGGTTGCTTGACATTTTTGAAACCCTAGCCCCTGAGAGTAAAGAATTTACAAAACAGTCTTTGTCCTGAAGTACAGGAGACATGATTATGATACAACGTAACAGAGCGTAGATCGGGATTGCACACAGTGCAGTGGCAAAAAGAGGTCAGCTTTATTGGTGAAGGGGCTGTGGGTAGAGAAGACTTGACAGTGGACGAGTTTGCATCGGGTCGGTGCCGAGGCACATCTTGTCAACCTGATTATCATCCTCCTTCATGAGGAGTATCAGACCACACAGCATTGCACTAGGTATAGAGGAAAGCACGAGGAGAAAATGCCGGGGGGCCCCCATGGCCTTGACCAGCCCCTGCTGACCTCACTCTTAGACCTGCAGATGGTGAACATCTCGCTGCGGGTACTGTCCCGACCCAACGCCATGGAGCTCCCCAGCATGTACCAGCGCCTGGGGCTGGACTACGAGGAGCGCGTGTTGCCGTCCATTGTCAACGAGGTGCTCAAGAGTGTGGTGGCCAAGTTCAATGCCTCCCAGCTGATCACCCAGCGGGCCCAGGTCTGACTGCAGCTTCCAGCGCTCCCAGTATATTAGGAAAGGGTTGTGGCCCTAGGTCTGTTTGCACCCGAAAGCTGTGTTTGTGGGGAGCAAGGAACCCAGACTGGAACTCGATAGCAGTTCGTGTTAGGCAGCTTGGGAGAAAACACGCAAGTGTAGACGTGTGCATTGTGTTGCAGAGAGTGGGGATTAGGAGTCAGTGGGACCAAGTCCTTTCCAGCTCAGCTGTTCTAGTGAGGAAGTGAGAGGGGGGTGGTGTATTCCCTGCTGTTCTCGGGAGATCTGGGATTCAGATGGTCACGGCAGCACACCTTCCTTTCAGTTCTCCAGTCCCCTCAACTCCCCTCTCCCCTCCCCTCCTCACCTCGCCCCTCAGGTATCCTTGTTGATCCGACGGGAGCTGACAGAGAGGGCCAAGGACTTCAGCCTCATACTGGATGATGTAGCCATCACAGAGCTGAGCTTTAGCCGAGAGTACACGGCTGCTGTAGAAGCCAAACAAGTGGGTGAGTCACAAGAGGAGTAGGGGAGGGTTTCCGAGGACGCAGGAGGAGGGATGGTGTTCCTGACACCTCGCATCTGTGACCCTGATTCTCTCCACCACAGCCCAGCAGGAGGCCCAGCGGGCCCAGTTCTTGGTGGAAAAAGCAAAACAGGAACAGCGGCAGAAGATCGTCCAGGCAGAGGGTGAGGCCGAGGCCGCCAGGATGATATCCTTCTGCTGGAGAGCTCCCCGCCCAGCCCCTGGAACACTGCTCCCCGTCTTCCCTCAAGGGCTGGCTGATGAGACTAAGGCGAATGCGACTCGTGCTCTCCGATCCCCAGGGGTGGGGGTTCCCAGTAGGATCTGAAGTCTTAGTGGGGGCACTAGAGGCTGGCTCCTCACCGTAAGGCAGATCAACAACACTGCTGGCCTTGCCTCTTCATCTGCCGCTGCCTCCAGTTCCTGGCAGCTGCCTGCAGGGAGGCCTACAGGGGGCACCAAAGTAGGGCTGGGCACGAGCCACCTGAGCGCAACCTTGGATCTGACCGCCCAGAGGAGGGCTGAGTGAGGCGGGCAGTGAAGTGAGGATGGAGCTCAGATTGAGACCTGGCCTTGTGTGAACCCTTAACCCCACCCTGCTCACCTCGGAGAAGCTCTGAGCAAGAACCCTGGCTACATCAAGCTGCGGAAGATCCGGGCAGCCCAGAACATCTCCAAGACGGTGAGTGTGAGTCCGGCCCCTCCCTCCAAGCCACCTTGGGAGTGAAGGTGTTTCTGTACATTGAAGTGAGAAGACTAAAGTCTTGCTTGTTCAGATTTCTACTCAAACTGGCTTCTCTGACACTCGTCCTCCCATCAAAACTGAACTCCCCAGAGTCCCCCAGGCTTCCCTGACGTTTTGTTCATCCTTTTCCTGGTACCAGTACGTCACAGCTGCTCTGGATCCTTGTGTGAGAGCAGAAACCATGGCTTTCTCATCTCACTACCCACGTTCCTCACCCACACGTGTTCCATCAGTGATTGGAATTGCAAGTGTAGGAATGGAGGTTTTCTTTGCTTGATACAAACATGTCTCATTTCTGGCCCTATAGATCGCCACATCACAGAACCGTATCTATCTCACTGCTGACAACCTTGTGCTGAACCTGCAGGATGAGAGTTTCACCCGGTGAGAGACACGGCCTTCACGTGGGGTGTCACAGAGACCCAGGGCAGGGGCTGGTCACCTGGGCTCTAGAGCTTCTTCCAGCTTAATCGTGTGACCCTTGAAAGACACCATTTCTCTGAACCAAAGTTGGAAAAGTGGGTGGTTGACAATTCCTAACTTGAATCTCACAGGATTGATTTTGCAAGATCAAATAGGGTTATTCATGTAGAAAGCACTTTAACTGTAAAGTTTTGTTTCACTGAAAAGTGGTAAAAGATAACATTTAGCATTGTTTCTTGGGGACTGCTCTGGGGCATGGGAGGATGCTAGCAGAGAAGAGGTGGGAAGTGGCAGTGGCCAAGGGAGCAAGTCTCTTCTTCCCAGAACCCGGGGTTCCTGGCTTCCAACATGCTTGTCTTTTCCTCTTGGGAGCGAAGGAGGGTTTAGAGCTGGGTGGCGCCTGAAACTGTCAAGTCACACATACCTTTCTTTTCTCTCTCTGTCTTCCCTGTTCATCTGGTGACCTGGCATCCACAGAGGAAGGTAAGCTTTTGATGCATCCTGGTTTCTGTGGGGTCTTGCAGCCCATCTCCCAGTACCTGCCTCCTCCCCCATCACCTCACCTTTCTCACCTCCCCACACACACACCCTGGGTCAGGGAGGAGGAAGTGGCCTGAGGCTCTCTGCTTCTCACAAAGGTCCCTTAATGTCACCATCTGTCTGTTTCCACAGTGACAGCCTCATCAAGGGTAAGAAATGAGCCTGGTGACGAGGAACTCCGCCCCCAGGGAAGAAGTGGATCTGTTCGTCCCCTGGTTTTTGAGGAGCCAGCTTGGGGTCCAGCACACCCCCGCCCTGCCCCCAGTATCATGTGATGGTCCCTTCCACATCTGTCCTCCCAGCCCTTGGATGAACAAAGACTGACCATTTTCAGGGGAATGACTTTCCGCCCTGTGTCGGGACAGTGTGTGGTTTCTCAGTGATTTCCTGGGGTTGGTTCCTCCCTCTCTGTCGGGAGGCAATAACCACCACCCTGGGAATTCCCAATAAATTTTTATTACTTAAGCAAAGTCAAGGTGTCCAGTGTCTGGGCTGGGCTAGGGTGGCACGCATGCGCACGTTCAGACAGCGCACTCCTGGGTCCTTCTTTGTCTCTGCCGGCAGGGGGCGTGAGGACCCCGGCCCGGGCAGGTAGGGGAGAGCGCCCAGCCGCTGCCCTAACCCTATTAGCCCAGCAGAGGCGGATCCAAACCAGAACCCGGCTGGGAACGGTGGGCCTTTGGCCCTGAGGCCAGCTGCACTCTTCACCCCACCCTCACAGAACCGCATCACCCCACTTGTTTACCAACGTCTCTTTTTTTAAGGCTGGAGCAGCTGTGGCTTTGCTGAGCTAGACCAAAAATCTGATGACCCCAACAGGAGCTGCTTCCCTGGTAACAGGGTTCCATGTGGCTTTGGGAGACAATTTGTGCTTATTGAGGGCCTTACGAGTTCAGATGCCTCATGGACCCTGTTGCTGCCCTGGGCTACCCACACTGAGTTGCTCAGGGCTCGACCTCTCAAGGTGGGCTCTTCACTGCCACAGCTCTGGGCCCCCAACAAGAGTGGTGCCTCATGTCCTTCCCAATCCAGCCATCTCTGAATGTCGAGCAGCAGAGAAACGAGGCCGCTGGCTGTGCCCGCGTGCCACCACCACGTTCCAATCCCTTGTCCTTGCGGGGAAACAACAGTGGGAACCAGAGGACAGCCCTGGGGGTGAAAGTGTGGACAGGAATCATGAAATTCGTGGTGGGGGAGGAGGTGCACCTTGCACGGTTAGGAGGACCTGGGGTCTTGATCTGCTTCGGTTTTTGAAGAAAGATTAATTGTCCCCTGCTCTGCAGGTTGAATGTCATGAAAGGGACAGGGGGCAGCGGATGTGGCCACCCCTCCTCAGGGCCTGGGAGCCCAAAGTGAGATCAACAACTAGACAAAAGCCAGTGAAGTGACCCAAATGAGTCTGCTCAATCTCTGTCCACACTTTATTCACATTTCCCAAGGCAGGAAGAGGATGGAGGAGCCTGAGGACAAACATGTTTCCAAGTCCCGCTGTGGCTCTGGGCAGCCATTTTGTCTCCTCCCATTGTTTCCCTTTCCTGAAGACTCACCCCCCACCACCCCCAGGGGTAAAGGTCAGAGATGTCTGGTCCGGAGGCCTCCGTGGTCTTCGGGGCTCCCTGAAGGTCACTGCCGAGGGCGCCGGCCGGAGGCCATCTTTACCAGACAGTGTTAGGAGCTTCCTGATTAGACCACCCAACACTGTGCTGGAAGATGGACCCAGAGCCGGCGACAGACATCCGGACTGGAGCTGGCCAGTTGCTTCGAGAACCCTGACCGCAGGCCAGCTGAGGTCTCTTGAAAGGATACGAGCCAATCCCAAGCTCAAGGTCAGCTGTGGGTTCTGGATCCTCCAGATGACAAATCACACTGGGTTGGGGGAGGGGCTGGGGCCATTGTGTCCCTTCAGTGGGCAGCCAGCCAACCTGAGAGCCACCTCTTTTGCAACACCCTCTGCTCAAGATGAAGGGGTTTCCAGGGTCGGGGAAGGGGTTACGGAGTTGGGGTCGCAGCCAGGTAGGCACTGGGGACCTGAGACCATGGACGTTGCTGACACAGGGATAGGGGCCTCCATCATTACCCGGCAGTATTAGAGACTCCCAACCAGCACCCAAACACTGCTGGGTAAGACGGGGGCCCCCACCCCGCTGCCCTCCTCCAGGGCAGGCCATCCTAGGCCCAGGCTCCCGACGGAGCTGCGGAACGCTGGCTCCCATCCCCCACCAACCGCATCCCTAGGGACACTTCCGGGTGAGCCCTGTAGCTGCCACCAGCCCCACCCTGGGTCGCTGATCCACTGAGGGCCTAGTCAGGGGCCTAGTCAGAAGCCCCCTGCCCACCTCTTCTCTGCGCCAAGCCCCTTCCCCCGACCCCCGCAGCCTGTCCTCCACCACATACGCCCCGGTTCACCACCCCGGCCCCCTCAGCGGTCCCTAGCTCAGCCCCAGGACCACTCTCCCCAGGGCCTTTACCTGTCACTTGGCCGCCTGCCCCCCAGAGAGTGAAGGCTGAGGAGAGGAAGGGGAGTCAGGGCCCGGGATTCCAGACCTAGAGGCCGCGCTGGCCTCCACTCTTCCTTCTTCCTTCTCGCCTGCCCTGCCGGGAAGCGCAGACTCCTCACCTGGGCCCCGCCCGCCGCCCTTGCGCACAGGTGTGTCCTCCTGCCATAGGCTGCACCCCCGCTGCCTTAACCCCTTCCCTCCCAGCGCCAGCCACAGGCGCCTCCTCTGAGGCCTGGTCCCCTCTCCACCCTGGCCGCCCTCTTCTACCTGCCTCCTCTGCCCCCGGGGCCCAGGCCTGGGAGCCTGGTCACCAGAGGGACAGAGGGAGGGGCTGTCTTTGGGCCTCTTTGCCTTCCTCCCTGGCCTCACTCCACAGCCGCTCCTGCTACCAGCTAGCCTCTTCCCCTAAGGCCTCTGCCCAGGCCCAGAGCTGGAGGCCCAGAGACCCTGAGGTCAGAGAGGGCTCAGCTTAGCAGGGATTGAGTTGTGCCCTGACCCAGGGCACCTGTGCTGGACATCCTGGGCCTGTGGAGGGCAGGCGGGTCCCCACAGGCACCTCCTTGTCCTCACCCTTAGTGTTGGGGTGCCCACCCCTGCTGAGAGCCCCAAGCTGGCCAGGAGCATCAGCACTGACCCGGCCAATCAAAGTCCTGAGTTGCCCTCCTTCGGCCCCCAGCCTTCATCCACAGTCCTGCGGGGAGGACCGACCACGCTCTGCTCCCCAGAGGGACCCGGCACCCTGCCGGGCAGAGCTGTTCCTGGACCCACCTCACAGCACTGGAGAGTCTAGGTCCCAGCCTCGGGCAGTCAGCCCAAGGGCCGTTAGAGGGGGTGGGACCTGCCTTTCTTTTGTGTAGTTCAAGCTGGGATAGAAAGGGCGTTGCCAGGAGAGGGGCCCTGAGGCCCACAGGTGCCGCTCCACCCAGCCACCCCCTGGAGGGCAAGAGCTCCTGGGAGCTGAGCAGTCCTGTGGCCCAATCCCAGCTCTGCACTCTCTCTCTCCCCTTAGTTTACATCCTTCTTCACTCCTCTCTGTACTTCTGTGTGGACTGTTTCTGGCTGTCTTCCTCTCCAGTCTCCTCAGTTCCACAATGACGGGCACTGGCGGGTTCCCCACCACGCCCCAGCACCGCTCCAGTGCCTGGGACACGGCGGGGCACTCAACAAAGACAGTGTAGGCTGAGTGACAGCCCAGCCTACTGGCTTCAGGACGCCCACTGCTCAGCCAGGCAGGCAACAGGGAGCTGGTCTTTTTTTAAGTCTGAGCCTCTCACAGACTCCTCCCCAGGAGACAAGCGTTTTAAATCGACATAAAGCCTTAACACAAGGAAGGAATGGCTTGTTGTCCACTCTGGACACAGGGGAAGGAAGAGTGAGAAAAGATAAAACACTGACCAGGAGCAAAAGTGTAGCAGCAGCCCCAGGAAGGGAGAAGCAGGGCGCCCCTGTGAGCACCTGGTGCCCAGCAGGGAGGGGACACAGGGAGCAAGGCCTATGCTCATGGCCTTTATCCATCTTCTTAGCTCTTGGATCTAGAAGCCAGGCCTGAGAATGTGGTTGTGTGCCCCTCGGGGATATCCCCGGCTGCGGATCCAGGAATGTGGGCTCTGGGGTCAGAAGGCCTGAGTTAAAATCTTAGCTTCACTGCTCAAGAGCCCCGTGACCTTGAGGGTGGGGATAGCTCAGCGGTAGATTGTGTGCTTAGTGTGCACGAGGTACTGGGTTCAACCCCCAGTACCTCTGTTAAAATATATAAATAGGCCTAATTACCTCCCCTCCAAAAAAAAGTTTTTCTAAAAAATGAGTCCTGTGACCTTAAGCAAGTTATTTAATCTATCTGA